AGTGAAATCACTGCAACAAGAAGATAGGGGGAGGATCCTACACGGGAATAAGTGGACTTTGATAAAACTCGAAGGGAAAGCATTATGGATTAAACCGCAGTATTAGGTTAACACTCCCAGCAAAGTGGCGGGATGAGAGAACCAGTAGAGATTGTGAATAGTTTTCAAATAGGTTTAGATAAACAATAAATTATTATGGATATTGTTTGACCTTGTTTTCGCAACTTGGTCATATTGGTAGGACGACTAGTCCGGAGTCCATTGTATGCATGATAATTTCCAGTACATTCCCACAGGTTTTGCCGGCATTGTAGTCGTTGTGCTGGGAATATGGGTCAGAGTCCAATATATTGTTACGCCGTCTTTCCATAAGTCATATCAGAGTCTCTCTCTTACCATGTAGGATCCGTCTGCTATCTCACTGTTTCAAGTATTTCACTCGACCCTTCCCCTCTAATCTGTGCTACTCGAGGGGTTATTTTCCATACTCTGCGTTTGTAAGACTAACTTGAGGCTAAAGCCCCTGAATAATTATCATGGCCAAGCCTTTGCTTCATGGACCTGGTTTATGGTAAAAAAGGCCTGCTGTACGCCAGCTAGCTTTAGTTTCCGCCGCGTCTATTTTGTTTCTATCCCTAATAGCAAGTCTATGGCATATGCCCTAGTCGCTTGTGGGCCAACCTACAAATACTGTGGTACTTTTTGTTTTGACTAGTTTCAATGTTGGACCACAGCGTTTGTGGGTTGGCGTACAAGAGACTAGGACTGCATAGATTTAGTATTAGGGATATAAACAGGATAGACGCGTCGAAGACTATAGCTAGTTGGCTGACACTAGGCCTATTTTATCATAGACGTGATCCCTCAAGCAAAGGCTTGACCATGAGAATTACGCAGGGGCTTTACCATCAAGCTAATCGCCTAGGTGCAGAGTTTGTGAAATAACGATCCAAGTAACACAAATAGGGTGGCAGAGGTCGCTGGGAGATAGCAGACAGATCCTATGGGGCAGGAGGAAGACTGTGATAAGACTTAGGGAAGGAAGACGGCGTAACAATATGGCAGACTGATCCACATTCCCAACACAGGGGTGAAGGGGGTTGAGAAGGCAATTGTGGAGTGTGGAAAGTTCTCATGACAGCCGCTCAAAAGGGCATACCATACCACATTTAAATAAGTAAGTAACAAGTTATATTGAAGACGTGATACGGGGATATAGGATTTGCGATTAGCCCAGGAGGAAAAGAGAGATACCACGATTGTCTAGCAAACAATTGATCAAAGGATCAGCTTCGCTTCTTTCTGACGCGTTTTATTATTGTGCTGAGAATGGCCAGACTCACTGACGATGCCGGCGAGACTTCTGAAAATGTGCCACGTCTACTGTCTGACTGGATATTACCATGCATTCAATGGACTCCGGACTAGGTGCGTTCCTCTAAGTCTTCCTACCAATATGATCAAATTGCGAAAAGTTCAAACACCTTATAAATTAAGTTTATTGCTTTCTATTCTTTTTTGTTCATCAAATCTATCTGATAGTTCTTTAACAAAGGCTAATATTGTTGTGCGAGCAATTGAGTGACATTATATGGGAAGTCAGATTACTCATTGCTGAATCAAATTTTCATTCAACTCCATTATGAAATATCAAGCAATTCTTACATTTTGTTGTAGCCTAAGCGTTTTTTTTGCGAAAGGCTAGATTCATTTTTGCGCGTGACTGTAAATTATACTTACTCGTTGCAATTGACATTTTTTCTTTAACAGATCTCTATCCTCGACTTCAGACTCTTGTCATACTGACACTAAAACCGTAGTTGTGTGTAAAGCTTCGGCGGCCACTAACAGGCAAGAATTTTCACACTCTCATTCTACTCTATCTACCTTGTGTAAACAACAGAGGCCTCAGCTGCCTCCACATCAATCTCGTCTGATTTCGAGTGGCGTTGGACAGGACGAAGATGATGCTTCATACGAAAATCCAATGCAAGCGGAAGCTGAAGACGATCGAGATGAAGAGGCGGGGGTAAGACAGGAAATTGAGGCAGATACAGGGATAGCGATGGCTTTATTGACCTTAACAAACAGACAAGACAAGCTGAATATTCATCCACTCATTTCCCCGCTTCCTGCTCTTAATCTATCTAATAGTAATTGCTCCACAACTGGTGTTGATAGATCCCGATGCTTTTCGATCAGGCGATCCAGCCTAACCGACCAATCCTCTCATAATCTGGATCAGTGTACTGGTTTCCTTCCTCATGATTTCTTCTCTGATCAGCCAAAAGATCTTGATATCCCCCTTCACAGTATGGGTGAGTCATGTGTCACTGGGCCTCCTAGTGCAAACGCTGTGAGTAGCTTTGGAGCTGATCGACCCTGCTATGCTCGTCCTGGACCTTCTGGGTCTCTAATCGCTCCTTACCATCTCCAGATGCTCACCTCCCAATCAGACTCATCTAGCACTCAGGATTCCCAAATTCTGACTCTTAATTCTGGAGACCCTTCAACTCAGTCTTCTGGTTTTCAGGGTCAATATGATCGTTTAAGGGTGAAGCGTCAAGCTGCGCATACTCCACCCTACCTAGTTACTCCTACTGCTTTTGTCTCTGCAACTAGCTCTTGTATAATGCCCAAAGGTGGGAATATTGCAGAAAACGGCAATAATGTTAGTAATAATGCGTGTAGTAGCAACTTCATCCTTGGTTCTGATAGGCTTTTTGACTCTGTGGATTCCAGCAATATTGTTTCATTCCCTGGTGCCGGGCAATTTTCCCGCTCTGTTATGATAACAACTACACCTGCAGTCTCTGAAGTCCCTGTTACTTCTTTTGCTATGGTAACCTCGGCGATGTCTATTTCAAGCCCTGCTGCTTCGATATATTCCGTCCGGGATGACAGTAATCTAGTTCATCTGCACCAACAGCCCTCTCCTTCAACTCCCTTATCCAGCTCTCGACTTGCCTCATTGGACAAGGAAGTGGCAAGGAAATTAGCCACCGATTGCTCATCCTCTTCATCCGTGGCTTCTACGCTACCGTCCTCAGCTTCACCTTCCATCTCTGTCATTCATGCAGCATCAGGCTCTTCTTCCCTCTTGTCCTCTCTTCCTGTTGGCCATGTTGGAGCGCCGACATTGCAGACGCTTGGCGGACCAAATTTTATGGCAATCGGCCATGATGCTGTTATGGCATTGCATAAATCACATATCTCTCATAGAAAGCATCTACATCTAAATTGTCAAACTGATCATCTTTCAGCAACTCCGCTACCATCGCCTCCTCAATCACAATTACAGCAGCCCTTGCATCTTCAGGGCTTTAGAGATCACGATAGTCTTCTAATAGGTGCTAATCAGGTCGGTTTCAATTACTCTATTTAGTGATTTTCTTCTCAAAGATTTACAATTTTGAAACTATTTACAATTATGCTGATGATTATACTATTTCACTGAGTTATGATTTATCCCTACACTAAACTTCGGTCGTTGAGAATAATCGATCGCACAATTTAGCTAATTGCTTGCTTATATAAATTTACATTAGGGCGATCTATAAAGATTATGTACTCGTGTGTGCATTGAATTAGATAATTTTATAGAAGTGGGTTGACCTCGTTGTCGCAACTTGGTCTTGTGTTCAGGGAGATTATGTAGAACGCACCG